TGTAATTAATAAAAAAAACATTAAAATAAATCTTTATAAAAGGAGGGAGCCAAAACTTATTATTTCAAGCTCAATTTGAAAATTAAATGGGTACGAAATCATTGCCTAGCCAAGTTTTATGGGCTAAACATTTATGCCAAGCCCTAAAAATATCGAGCTAAGTTGGTCAGACCATTGAACCCATGACCATTTCCTAGTTATATATACCGATCAAAGCACGGATTTTATTTATTTTTTATTTTTTTTTGTAATTGCTAGACATGCATTTGTTCACACATTATATTGAAATCGCCTATTTGAGATCGAATGGAGTCGAATTAAGTGGATCGGCTAAATGAGTGCTCAACCATAATCATAACTATATGGTTTGATGAATGGTTGTATCCTACACACTCTAATGACATGATTTCCCAATCTTCTCTTTCCTATGCTTAACAGAACATAATGACTGGTTGTTCCTTCCACATAAATCTAGAAGACTTGAGAAGATTCTAGAACATCCTAAAAGAATTCAGAACATTGAAGAAGTTTCGAGAATTTTAGACAAATCTATAAGGTTCCTAAAGGTTCTAGAGCATTTTAGAAAAGTATAGAAAACTCCACTATGTACTAAAATAATTTAGAGAATTCTAGAACATAGTGAAAGCATGAGTGTATTCTAGAATATTTTGGAAAGCTAATGATGTTATTGGATCAAGTTGATCCAAGCCATCCATTGAGGGGTGAAACACCATATAAAGGGTGAAATGCCTCATTTGAGGTAGAAAAGATATAAATGAGATTAGAGTTCATAGTATTTGTAATGAGAGTCAAATATTGTTAAGGTTTTGTGTTCATGTCTATCTATGTATTTTTTTTTTTTAATATTTATTTGAGTATGAGTTTGTTGGTAACATAATAAAAAAGTTTCTTGTTGTATATTTAATTTCTTCTACGCTATATACTCAACAATTTCATGTAAATTGAAAATGAATTTCGTCATACCGACGCTATCAAAGAAAACGGTAGGACTATAGTTATAAACAGCAATTTTCTTCATATCTCTCATAATTAAAGTTTTGAGGATTATATAGCATTCAAGAATAAATTCCACACATTTGGATATTGGGTTTGTGAAAACCTCCACTACAACAAAAAAACATTTTTGGCGACGTTTTTTAGCAACCAAACTGAAATTAGTCGCCAATTTTACATAATCGGCGACAATATAATTGTTTGTCGCCAAAAGTACACTATTGGCGACAAGTTAATAATTTTAGTCGCCAAAAGGTTTGGCGCCAACTTAATTTTTTGGGCGGGAGCGCCAAAAATATTTTCGCGACCAAATGAACATATAGCGACGAAATTTTGGTTACCGATTGTAAAGTTTTGGTGACAGAAATGAAATAGTCGCAGAAAAGATGAACGGTACTTATGGCGACAGAAGAATTTTTGTCGCCAATAAATTAGCAAACAAAACTATGTCGTTTTGCATTTTTCAAAATTTTTTTTTTTTTAAAGACTGGACCAATCCTTTTACTGAATAAACACACCCAAGCCTCATATCATTGTATTCAAAGGAAAACGAGAAGAGAGGGAGAAGATAGAGGATTCAAAAGGGAATGGAAGGGAAGGGTAGGGTTTCAATCTCTCTCTCTGTGCACACTTCGACGGTACGGCGAAACTGATTCGACAACGGTGACAATCAACGGTACGCACTCATCTATTCTTTTCTCTTCTCATTCAACATCCAAATAGTAGACTTCAAGAGTCCAAATAGCATACCCAAACGATTGTCAAGCATGAGCTAGGTAGCAAATGGCGAGAATGGCGGAGGTGTTTGGCGTAGATGAGGCAGGGAGGGGCGTGGCCGTGGGTTTGTTAGGTGTGGCCGTAGGGTAAGGTTCGCCGGAGGGGGGGACTCTCTCTTTCTCTCTCCCCCCTTCTTCAGTTTCTTATTTTTTCTGTTGACAAATTGTGCTTGTCTCTCTTTGCCCTATAAATTGCAATTTCTATGCCCTAATTGATTTTTTTTCTTGCCAAGTGCCTTTTTAGAATTTTTTTAGGGGTGTTGTTGTGATGTCTGGTTTCTCTCATTAGAGTTCAAATCCTTCGGATGCCATTAACATTGCAGTAATATGCAAGGTACTTTTGCTCATTTTGAAGATTGTAACTGCTTTGGTGGATTTTTGTGGTTGTTTATCATCATGTAGTCCTCTTATCTAACATAGTTATAATCACTGCTCTCTCACTAGATAGCATTATATAATGGTGTTGGATAAACATAATGTTATTTGCATGCAAAACTGATAGCTGAGTAATATTGTGAGATGCAACAAAGTGTACAATGAAATAGAAAAGAAAAGAACTTCAGGGAAGGGTATGTGTATTGGGGGTGATGATGACTCAAAAATGGGTGACAAAACAAAAGAAGAAATGGCAAAGAAAATTGGGAAATATGGAAGGAAAAGAGAGGATAGTGTTCCCCAAGTTTATGTGGGTTTGTGGACACCATTCGGGGGCTAAAATTACGAAATGACCACCGAAACCACCGAAACTTGGCACGGACAGCTTGTTCAAGCCTAAATAGACTTGTAGGAACAAACGGGACCTCGATCGGATCTCCGGTTAGAATATTAGAAGGAAAATTGTAAAACACAAGACTTAAAATTCCCTTTCAGGGGCCGAAATTGTGAAATGACCACCGAAACCACTGAAACTTAGCACAGACAGCTTGTTCAAGCCTAAATAGACTTGTAGGAACAAACGGGACCTCGATTGGATCCCCGGTTAGAAAATTAGAAGGAAAATTGTAAAACACAAGACTTAAAATTCCCTTTCGGGGGCCGAAATTATGAAATGACCACCGAAACCACCGAAACTTAGCACAGACAGCTTGTTCAAGCCTAAATAGACTTGTAGGAATAAACGGGACCTCAATTGGATCCCCGGTTAGAAAATTAGAAGGAAAATTGTAAAACACAAGACTTAAAATTCCCTTTCGGGGGCCGAAATTTTGAAATGAGCATCGAAACTTGGCACGGACAACCTTTTCAAGCCTAAATAGACTTGTAGGAACAAACGGGACTTCTATTCGATCTCCTGTTAGAAAATTAGAAGGAAAATTGTAAAAGACAAGACTTAAAAGGCCTGTTCGGGGGCTGAAATTGCGAAATGACCACCGAAACCACCAAAACTTAGCATGGACAGCTTGTTCAAACTTAAATAGACTTGTAGGAACAAACGGAACCTCAATTGAATTCCCGGTTAGAAAATTAGAAGGAAAATTGAAAAATACAAGACTTAAAAAGCCCGTTCGGGGGAAGAAATTGCAAAATGACCACCGAAACCATCAAAACTTGGCACGGATAGCTTGTTCAAACTTAAATAAACTTGTAGGAATAAATGGAACCTCGATTAGATTTCCGGTTAGAAAATTACAAGAAAAAAATGTAAATCACAAGACTTAAAAGGCCCATTCGGGGGCCGAAATTGCAAAATGACCACTGAAACCACCGAAACTTGGCACGGGCAACTTGTTCAAGCCTAAATAGACTTGTATGAGCAAACAGCACCCTATTGGACTTCCCGTTACAAAATTAAAATCAAAATTGTGAAATTCATATCGATTTTTTTTTTGTCAATCTAATATTGTTTTTTCTTTTTTCATGTGACAGATTGGCAATGGTGGAAAACAGTTCGGGCTGCATCAGAAGATTTGATTTTGTGTTTTTTGAAATATTTTGACATAGGATTTTCGTAAATGATTTATGGATTAAATGTTTAGCATCAAAATATTTAGTTTTGCGTTTTTGAAAATATTTTGACATAGGATTTGGTAATGTATTTATGGGTTTGATGTTAGTAGTTTGTAAGTACTTTGGTATGCATGTTTTAGATTGTCAGAGAATTGTAATTATATTTATTGAAATTTTTTATAGCTATTAATTTTGAATTAGAATGAATGTCTTGCACAGGTGTATTATTATTTATATTACATTTGTGTATATATTGTGCACAGGAAAACAGGTGTTTTGGATTATTTTGAACAGGAAAATTATTAAAATCAAAATGTGTAGTGAATTTTTAATAATAGGTGGTGTTTTTGTCGCTGTTAATATATTTGGCGACAACATATTGTTTTTGTCACTAAAAGTTAGTGGTTATTCTAGGAACTTTTAGTAACCAAAACTTACTCGTTGCTAAAAACGTGATTTTTAGCGACCAAATTAATTTTGTCGTTAAATAGTACTTTCGGCGACGCATTTATTTGTCGCTAAAACTACATCGCCTATCCAAATTTTAACCTTTTAGCGACAAATTATAATTTTATAGCGACAAAATATATGATTTTTGGCGACCAATTTTGCTTGTCGCTAAATGTCTACATACGGTGACAATTTCTGATTTCGTCGCCAATACTTTTAGTGACAGGCCTCCGTCGATGTACCACTTGACCAGGTCTTAAAAAAGTATGCCCCTTCGAACCTTCCCTCAGCGAGTAGGTTGACAAACCATCCCTATAGGTTAAACACAACTTTTCATCAACCAGCTTCTGCAGATACTGCATGTTATATTGAGTAACTCTCTCCTCAAATGTTATCCGTTGAGCAATTTCAAAAGGCAGTCCAATCTCATTGACTCCTTTATATGCATCACCTGTAATAACACTCCGTGAGGAGAATCCACAACCCTTTCTGATAAATAGGGTTTTCATCTTCTCAAGCCATGCTTTAGTAGTAGAATCGCTTTGCTCTTTGTTAATCCCAAATCGTGTATCCATGTCATGAGATGCCTTGTAGAAGAAATATGCACGGAAAGACAAGAAAACAACAATTGTTCATGAACATTTGCACAATTTAATTGCCAAAGGTTTGACTAGATTATCAATCATATTCTCAATAAAGAACAAATGTCACCCAAGTAAATAGTAAACCAGCATCAACTACACAAAACACCATCTTCTAAAACGGATCATCATTCTCAGATAATTCAAATAAGCAATGCAATGGACATGATTGATTAACCATTCTTAAAGTGAGTTCAATCTTGGCAAAATTCATTCTTAACAATCTTGTTGAAGAAAATTTTAAACTCACATTGAGTAGTAGACCATTCATAAAAACCATACGTGGTCATTGTAGCTTGTAATTCAAATTTCCATTTTCTTCTTGTATTATCTTGAAAAATATCTGGTTAAGTACATTGAAAGATATGTAACCTTATTTTTAGCTTTTTCTTTTTGGGCCTAGACCCATTTCTGTTTGCAGAGTGCTGGTGGACTGGGCACTGGAAGTGATATTGGGCTGATTGCGAGGTTCTGCTGTGGGCCCTTTCTTGGTCCATATTTCCTCACACGACCCATTATGCTGTGGGCCCTTTTTAGGTGGATTTCAGTTTGTAGTTAGTGGATTATTAATCATCTTGTGTGGTAAAGATGATGCTTGTGCAAGTTTTCTTTAACATATTCAAGATCTTTATGAGGTTGATGTTGCCACATCAACTCTCTGCTTCATTTGCTACTATGATGATGGTTTTATTTGCATCTGATTCTGTCTGTTTCTTTTACCAGTATGTGAATGTTTTAGTTGCAGCTGCGAATCCATGTAATTTCTGTATTTCTTGTCTTTTTTTATTGAAACAGGAATTATCATTAGTTTGCTCATGTTTTCTATTGCATGATTTTCATTTACACCAGCATGCTATTTACTAGTTTCATGCCTATTTACATGATCAGGACAAATGGCGGAATATGGGTATTAGTACTGCTGCACACAGTTCTAAAGAAAAAATACGAATTCCTAGAGTAAAAGCTATTACCGCTGGCCCACTCACCAATGGTCAAAATTCTGCTTCTGCTTCACTTATTGATGATGACAAGGATGGGAAAACTGCTCCACGGTGCGCTTTTCTTTTGGTTCTCTTTTGTGAATATAGAATTAATCTCATGGCGTTGCTCTGATTGGTGAGAGAAACTTTTATGTGCATAAATCTTATGTTTCTATTGATATGTTTATTCTGCGCCTCCACTCAGCTGTGGGGAAAATAACTAATACAAAAGGATAAATAAGAATTAGGCAACAGAAACAGGAAACACTGTTACTAGCATTGTTCTATGTACTGAGTGGCTAAGCAAACTAGGATTTACAAACCTACGATAGAGGCTTTAGGCCCCTTGAAATTGAAATCCTTTTTTGTCCAAAAGATGGCATCATAGTATTTGCTTTCAGTTTTATTTATCTTTTCTTTAGGCTTCTTTGGTTTCAGAATTTGAATCTTAGTATATGAACCTTATCACCAGTCACATTGCCATAAGACTTCCATTGGATTCAAATGTGACACTTGGGGATGTGAAACCCCTGAATGCAATAGTTAATGCAACAGCATGAGCAGTTTAGTTAAACTTCATAAACTCATTACAAAGTGGTGGCATTCCCAAACTCCCTGTAGTTGCAATGATCTTTGAAGCACTTACAGCCATACAAGATTCAAATGGAGTTGATATTAGTGCCATTCTCAACTTTATTGATGTCAGATAGAAGTCTTTTGTTATCTTTATTCCCTTGGATAAAATTTACCTGGTTTAATCTTGAAGGACTTGTAGTAGCTGTTAGGTTATGACAAAACAATTTATAGAAAATAATTACAGACAGCTCTTTATATTGCATAATGTTTAGATACTCAAATCCATGCATCTTGATGTGTAGTCTATTGGACTATTGTGCTTGGTTGATTCCAAACAGCCTAGAATTTCAACATTGTCAGAGTCCATAATTTTGTACATGAATAATTTGATATGCATCTCAGTGCTTCTTTTTTATTTTAATTTTTAATAGTAAACTAAAATTGTCAAAGGGAGGAGGAGGGACAATGATTCCAAGGCAAAGAGAGCCAAAGTTTATGTTTTGAAGTTTCTGATTTGATGGCATTACCTATTGCTGCTGGCTTGGAGCACAAACATTTCTATTTCCCTTTGCACCCATAAACATACCTCAAATACTTATTGATGACTCAATAGTTTTTTGTTTTTTTTGTTTTGTTTCCCTAATATGTTGGAAGAAAATGGGTTGTAATGCCTATTGATAACTTGATCGTTTTTGTGGTTAGATACACATCTCATTCTCTAATATTTTTCATAGAACTTGCTTTAATAGTAATATTTAACTGATGAAGTATTTTTTTTTTTTTTAAATCTCAGTTGGGTAATGAAACGGAGAGTATTAGCTTTGATCTTCGACCTTCGGATGCCATTAACATTGCAGTAATATGCAAGGTACTTTTGCTCATTTTGAAGATTGTAACTGCTTTGGTGGATTTTTGTGGTTGTTTATCATCATGTAGTCCTCTTATCTAACATAGTTATAATCACTACTCTCTCACTAGATAGCTTTATATAATGGTGTTGGATAAACATAACGTTATTTGCATGCAAAACTGATAACTGAGTAATACTGTGAGATGCAACAAAGTGTACAATGAAATAGAAAAGAAAAGACCTTCAGGGAAGGGTATGTGTATTGGGGGTGATGATGACTCAAAAATGAGTGACAAAACAAAAGAAGAAATGGCAAAGAAAATTGGGAAATATGGAAGGAAAAGAGAGGATAGTGTCCCCCAAGTTTATGTGGGTTTGTGGACCCCATTTGGGGGCTGAAATTACGAAATGACCACCGAAACCACCGAAACTTGGCACGGACAGCTTGTTCAAGCCTAAATAGACTTGTAGGAACAAACGGGACCTCGATCGGATCTCCGGTTAGAATATTGGAAGGAAAATTGTAAAACACAAGACTAAAAAGGCCCGTTCGGGGACTGAAATTGCGAAATGACCACCGAAACTTAGCACAGACAGCTTGTTCAAGCCTAAATAGACTTGTAGGAACAAACGGGACCTCGATTGGATCCTCGGTTAGAAAATTAGAAGGAAAATTGTAAAACACAAGACTTAAAATTCCCTTTCGGGGGCCGAAATTGTGAAATGACCACCGAAACCACCGAAACTTAGCACAGACAGCTTGTTCAAGCCTAAATAGACTTGTAGGAACAAACGGGACCTCGATTGGATCCCCGGTTAGAAAATTAGAAGGAAAATTGCAAAACACAAGACTTAAAATTCCCTTTCGGGGGCCGAAATTGTGAAATGACCACCGAAACCACCGAAACTTAGTACGGGCAGCTTGTTCAAGCCTAAATAGACTTGTAGGAATAAACGGGAGCTCGATTGGATCCCCGGTTAGAAAATTAGAAGGAAAATTGTAAAACACAAGACTTAAAATTCCCTTTCGGGGGCCGAAATTTTGAAATGAGCACCGAAACTTGGCACGGACAACCTTTTCAAGCCTAAATAGACTTGTAGGAACAAACGGGACTTCTATTGGATCTCCTGTTAGAAAATTAGAAGGAAAATTGTAAAACACAAGACTTAAAAGGCCCGTTCGGGGGCTGAAATTGCGAAATGACCACCGAAACCACCAAAACTTGGCACGGACAGCTTGTTCAAACTTAAATAGACTTATAGGAACAAACGGAACCTCAATTGGATCCCCGGTTAGAAAATTAGAAGGAAAATTGAAAAACACAAGACTTAAAAAGCCCGTTCGGGGGCTGAAATTGCAAAATGACCACCGAAACCATCAAAACTTGGCACGGACAGCTTGTTCAAACTTAAATAAACTTGTAGGAATAAATGGAACCTCGATTAGATTTCCGGTTAGAAAATTACAAGAAAAAATGTAAAACACAAGACTTAGAAGGCCCATTCGGGGGCCGAAATTGCAAAATGACCACTAAAACCACCGAAACTTGGCACGGGCAACTTGTTCAAGCCTAAATAGACTTGTATGAGCAAACAGCACCCTATTGGACTTCCCGTTACAAAATTAAAATCAAAATTGTGAAATTCATATCGATTTTTTTTTTGTCAATCTAATATTGTTTTTTCTTTTTTCATGTGACTGATTGGCAATGGTGGAAAACAGTTCGGGCTGCATCAAAAGATTTGATTTTATGTTTTTTGAAATATTTTGACATAGGATTTTCGTAAATGATTTATGGATTAAATGTTTAGCATCAAAATATTTAGTTTTGCATTTTTGAAAATATTTTGACATAGGATTTGGTAATGTATTTATGGGTTTGATGTTAGTAGTTTGTAAGTACTTTGGTATGCATGTTTTAGATTGTCAGAGAATTGTAATTATATTTATTGGAATTTTTATAGCTATTAATTTTGAATTAGTATGAATGTCTTGCACAGGTGTATTATTATTTACATTACATTTGTGTATATATTGTGCACAGGAAAACGGGTGTTTTGGATTATTTTGAACAGGAAAATTATTAAAATCAAAATGTGTAGTGAATTTTTAATAATAGGTGGTGTTTTTGTCCCTGTTAATATATTTGGCGACAACATATTATTTTTGTCGCTAAAAGTTAGTGGTTATTCTAGGAACTTTTAGCAACCAAAACTTACTCGTTGCTAAAAACGTGATTTTTAGCGACCAAATTAATTTTGTCGTTAAATAGTACTTTCGGCGACGCATTTATTTGTCGCTAAAACTACATAGCCTATCCAAATTTTAACCTTTTAGCAACAAATTGTAATTTTATAGCGACAAAATATATGATTTTTGGCGACCAATTTTGCTTGTCGCTAAATGTCTACATACGGTGACAATTTCTGATTTTGTCGCCAATACTTTTAGTGACAGGGCTTTGGCGACCAATTGTGTACTTTGTCGCCGATTCTTTTGGCGACGAAATTTTTACTTTTGGCGATGAAATTTGTGGGTCGCCAAATGTGTTTTTTGTTGTAGTGCTCTAAACCACCATTGTTACCATTGTACGAAGGTGCAACACATCATTCGTTATTCGATTCATCATCACCACCACCACTAGATCAGGAGATACATTGACAGTTCATTCAATCTTAAAGATGATTCACAACTCATAGAATTATATGTTATTTGCATTATAGTCAATAGATTACTATTGAATTGATTCACCTCATGAATACCTTTTAGATAATTTATCATAGTAGACAATTCAATGAAAAGTTTTTTTTATCCCTATAATTATATTAATAATAAACAAATAAATGGTCCTAAAAACCCTACCAGGTTGAAACGTGTTAAAAAAAAGAAAAAAAAAAGTGTCTTATTGTTGGATTTATTTTTAATAAAAATTGCAATTTTATTATTATTATTATTATTATTATTATTATTATATCTCGTCTGAAATTAAAGTCACAATCTCTATCGTTTACAACTAGTAGTTCCACTCACAATCTGTATCATTTCCCTCTCAATGTAGCATTGAAGTAAGTTGCTCAAATAATCTTCTCATCATGCAGTTTGTGGATATGACTTTGTGCAAATGGTTTTGTATTGAAATATGGTTCTGTAGTTGTAGGACAAGATAGACCCAACATCTTGTTGTTTTATACACAATTTTATTCAATAAAACGAATATCTCTCTCTTTTTCAATGAATTTCAATGCGGGGGAAATCTCTTTTTGGGTATATCAGAAATAAATGTGGTGGGAAATCTCAAAACATGAAAATTTTGTGGCATGATTATATGGTTGAGAGAACTTTGGGATAGAGGATCTTGTGCCAATGCATGTTACTTTGTCCATGTTTCAATGCACTCCCACCAACATAATGTAATTCTCAAAACAAGAAAATTTTAAGGTACAATCGTTCAGTTGAAAGCATATTAGGGATAGAGGATCCCATGCTAATTTTTGTTACTAGTGTTTATTTCTAACTTTTTACTCTATGTATAAATAAAAGGAAGTAGAAAGTTCACAAATACATATGATTTTTTTTTTCTTTAGAAAGTTATAAAGCAGTTACGTGAAAATAAAAGTAAACAAAATATAGATAAAAATAAAATAAGAACTATGAGACTCTAAAGGGTCAAATAAACAACCTAACAAGAACAACAAACAAAAAAAAAATACAAAACTGC